CACGAGTTTGCATTTGTAAACTAATTCCTGGAGGCAAATAGCTACCCTCGTGCTTCTCTAACTCCTACAAGATTTAAAAAATGTGGTACTATATATGAAGCATGATCTACACGAACCACTGACATAGAGATACAAAAATACATGTACATTCCTGTATAGGAAAAACAAAAAAACAAAAAAAAAAAAAAAAAAAATCTTTAACACTGCATTATTGTGCCTATTTCCTCAATGATTACGGAAAGATTCTCGAATTTTTTGTATATGTCCTCTATTCAGGGATGAGATTTGTCATTGTACACAACCTGATAAATCTGACCACTCACCTCAATCCAACTGGGTGCCAGTTCCTTCTTCAACCGGTGATGCTTCAGTAATGCTATAATATTTGATGCATCCTGCCACATCCCTCTTGCAGCATATATATTTGACAAAAGTATATACATCCCTACATTTGAAGGTTGAATACTTAAAAGCATCTGTGCACCAAATTTGCCTAGACCAAAATTCTCATGGACTCTACAAGAACTTATTAATGTTCCCTAAGTATGTGATGGGATATCTACAGGCAATTGTTTAACTAGTTCATATGATTCAGCTAGCAATTCTGATCTACCAAGGATATCAACCATGCAATCATAATGTTCTGGCTTTGGAATTAGATTCCAATGCTTCTCCATAGACTTTAAGTATTTCTAGCCTTCATTGACCAGACCTGAATGAGCACAGGCAATCAAGAGGCTAATAAAATTTACGTGATCTGGTTCAAATCCAACTTGAGTCATGGAATGGAATAGCTTGAGAGCTTCAACAGCAGAACCATGATAAGCTTGTGCCACGATTATGGCATTCCATGCCACCGTATCCCTGTTTATCATCCCTTGAAACACTAGAGCAACAACATTTATAAAGCCACATTTGGGATACATGGATATTAATGAACTTAATACAAACGTATCATTTTCAAAACCAGTTTTGATCACACAAAGATGCATTGCTTTACCCCACCCATGCGCAGCAAATGCACCACAGACCGAGATCACAGTGGTAAATGTACCTTGATCGGGCTTAAGTCCAGTCCGCAGCATGTGGTAATGTAGAATAAAAGCTTCTTCAGATTGACATCATGAAATCATAGTATTCCATGAGGTTTTATCTTTCCACGGCATCTGTCCAAAAAAACCCCTAGCATTTATCATATCATCTTATTGTACATGTCGCTGTAGTATTGAATTCCATGACACAATGTCTCGCTGTGGCATTTTCATGAACAATTCAAGAGCGTCTTCGAACCTTCCATTTTGAACATATCCACCAATCATTGAGTTCCATGCAATGAGATCCCGATGGGGCATTTCATTGAATAATTTTTTAGCCTCTTAAATCTGATTATAATGCAGATAACCCCGAATCATCATAGTCCAAGCCACTACATCCTTTTCAGGCATCTCCTCAAACAAGGCCCTAACACTCTCCATCTTTTTTGCTCTCAAGAAACAAGTTATCATACTAGTCCATGAAGCCATATCGTGTCAAGGCATTCCCATAAATAGTTTGTGTGAATCTTCAACATATACCATATCAGCATAACCAGCCAGAATTGCATTATACAGTGAAACACTCCTTACAACAGGAGCTTGATCAAACAACACCTCGGCTTCGCTTACAAACCCATAATGAAAATAACCTTCAATCATAGTCACCCACGACACAGAATTCTTAACAGGCATTGCATCAAACAATTTTCTGGCCTCATCTACTTGTTAATTGTTTACATAACCATATATCATAGAATTCCAACAAACCACATTTTTATCACGTATCGCCTCAAACAAACTCCAGGCTTCTTCTAACCTTCCACACTTTGCATGCCCACTTAACATCGTCGTCCAAGACACAACATTTCTACTAGGCATAACATCGAATATCTCACGAGCCTCACGAACCCTACCATTCCTAATATACCCATAAATCATACAGTTCCAAGTCACCATATTCCTATCAGGCATTTCATCAAACAGACGACATGCATTCTTAACATCCCCGCGCTTGAAACTACTAGTTATTTTTGGTTTCACTGATATTATGAGCTTTTCACATTGGAAGTCATATAACGAAATAACCAACAAGTTTCACTGAACACAAACCCAATACATGAATTGAATTTGCACCTAACATATATAATTCAGTAAACATGTGGTTAGTTAACAGAAGCCTGTTTATTCAAGCAACAAGTGGGACCAAACATAGATCCCACGGTTGTTCTATCATCATCCATGTGGAATTTAATATAATTATTTGAAACATGTGCAATATTAGAATTCGTATGATACCAAATTAGAAAATGATGATTCTGTATGGGGGTTGTCCTGAAATTGTAAGGGAAATTAATATTTAAGCAACCCGTTCCCTTAATAAAAGTGCCTTATCCCCACCAAACTCATGTAAAGCCAAATCTTGCCACAAATCTTGACGCTGATGTCACTTGACGATTTTCCCCAAGCTTGGATTTTCACTTTTTAGGATTTTCAGATTATTTTTTTCCTATCAATTTATATATATATACACATACATACGTACTTTAGAATCGCATTCGCACCATAAAATTCAATATTTAGCATTGACATTATTTATACACAATGTTTGTCTTGACTCCAAATTATTGGGTTTCTAATTTATATAAGGAACCAGTGAGACTAATTCTTCAGTCAAAATGTTTTTTAGTTGTATGACCCCACGTAATTAGGTTTTGATACTTTAAGTGGGACATCTTTAAAGTAAGAGGCCTAAGCGGCTAAGCCAGTGCCCCACGTTTCATTAATAAGGTTATAATCTTTAAAGGATAATAAATGAGGGTAATTAAATAGTTTTAATTTATTTTTTATTTTTTTAAGTTTGCAATATGTATTAGAACTTTTTATTTTATTTTTATTAATTAATTTATTTATATTTTATGGTAAAGCAAACACACATACACTTTTTTGCCCACGCTGGGACTCGAACCCCTCTCATCTTCTTTGAAGATGGAGAAGTTATACCATTGGGCCAAAGGCCTATCAGAACTTTACTACTGTATTAGATTAGCTTACTCCTTTTATTAGTGTGGAGAAGAATTATAAAGTTGTAACTGGATAACAGAATTATGTTATATCTATGAAATAAGAGAAGATTGAATAAATAATAAGGTTATAATAGAGAATCAAAATATAATGATACAACTTTTACGGAAAATTAGAATTTTCTCGTATTTTTTGGAGAAAATATTTTCAGAAAAATCAATGAGTTGCCAGAATATTACTTTCATGAAAAAATTTATTTCACGCTCATCAAAGTGTTATTTTTTTTATTATGTTTCTCTTACTTTCAGATTAGTTCACGCTAACTAAACTAACCCCACGAAAAGTTAATATAATTTTCACTTTCTTATATATAAGTTAGGTCATGAGACGGCGAGATATTTTGTAATAAAAAAATTGATGCAATTAAACGTTGATTGGACCAAATGAGTCTTGATTAATATAGGTGTTAAAAATTTAGAATAGAAAACTAAGATACAATGATTTAGAGTACATGAACTTATAATTTCAATTGTCAAATGTATTTATTAATTATTTTGAAAATTACATTCTTGCTTCTCATCAAAGTAGTGATAATTAATGACTCATTAACTCAGTTTGTATAACATCTCATCTTTTAGAGTGAGAAGTTGAATCTTTGCCGTGGAGTGCATGCGTGAATAATTACCTTTAAAAAAAAAAAAAAAAACGCATATATATGGATTAAAAATATAGAGTCTATAATTACTTCAAAAGGAATTTGGAGTTGCAACAAATTGGACACAAAATACTCAAAATTCAAAAACTCCTATTATGTTGGTAAGATTCAAATTTCAACTTTTTGAATGGGATATCAATTAATTTGAGTTGTGATACATATTTGACTATATTTATATTTATGACGTCATTACTCAGTTATATAAAGAGTTGAATGTGTTTAATGATGGAAATACTCATCATTTTTCATTAATTTTTATTAAATAATAATACTTTATTTTAAAAATAATTAAGATAAAAAAATAAAAAATTTAAGGAGCTGACGTGGAAAGGTTTGAAATCACAAGGCGAATTGCAACCACAAGACGAGACTTATCTCACCCAAGTGTGAAAATTGTTACAAAAAGCCAAATCAGCTGCGACTGAAACATCAGAGATTCCCATCGATCAGTCAAACAATGCTCAATTTTACAAAATCAATGCTGACTTTTGTAAAGTAAGCAGCACTATATTTTATTAGAGCAACCCCGCTGGGTTGTTTTCCCATTCGACACTTTATATAAAAAGCAAATCGTTCTATTTTATATAAAGTGTACAATCACACTAATAATTAATTATATATTTATTTTAAAGACTTCAAATTCTTATTATACTCTTATTTTTTTATTATATATTTTATTATATTATTATTTTTTAAATAATAAAATAATTTTTTTTTATTATTATTTTTTTCTCAACAGTTTTATTCTTAACAACTATAATACTATGCAAATTAAATTATTATGTAACAAATAAATAAATAAATTAATTGATAGGTCAAAGAATACAAACTTTAAAAAATAATTAACTAAATTATTATGTAAATTAAATGATTCTTCCTATTTATTTAGAAAAAATAATTTTTTAATTAATTAAAATTTAACTATTTTTATATTAATTAATTAATTAATTCAATACACATATAATATTTATTTTACACATCAAAATACAATATTACTTTTCTATTTTATATTATATCACACACAAACACCCACAATGTTCAGCTGTGGCGTTTGGATTGTGTAATGGGCCCCACTTGTGTGTAATGTGCGTAGGAAAGCATTTCATTCAGCGCAGGGTATTGATATTGTACACTTATGCTTGCGCTGGGGTTGCTGTTATGCGCCTTCTATTCTGATATTTTAGGGCAGACGTACACCACAAAAGACTGGTTGTTGAGGTCTGTTGAAATTGGACCCCACATAAATCTCTGCCGTCATATGATCTAATTTGTAGTTTCGATGCATGTTCATATACATACAAACACAGTAGAAGGCCATGTATTAGAATTCTTGAATATCCATAAATGTAACTTACACCTATATGTACATATACGTGTAACTTACCAAGTTGGTAAAGTTATGTGGTGTTCCCACCAAGCAATTCGGATTCTCTCTCTTTGAGTGTCTTCCTGGTTAAGCTCAGTTTCTTCTGGGTCCAAGAAAAGGTTTCAGCTGAGGAATTTCATGGGTTTTATGTAGCTTGCCCAGAGGTATGAATTCTCTCTCTCTATATATATATGTATTTGGGTAGGTTTGATTCTATGCATAGTGCGAGAAACCATATTTATTGGGTTGTGACGCTATTGGTGAATTGTTTGGGGTAGAATGTTGTATTATTGTGTAGATTTGGAGATTTGATGAGTTGGTGGGAGTTCATTACAGCAATTTGCAAGACCCAACTAATAAGTATCTTCAAGTATTCAAGAAATATGGTGTTAAGACTGTTTTATTGTATAATATGATGAGTGAGAACCGAAGTTAATTGTCAAGTATTCAAGAAATGTTTTCATTTGAGTTTTGAATTACAGTTGAAAAAATTTGGGGAAAGTATGATATTACCCAAAAAAAAAAAGAAGAAGAAATGTTTGCTAATTGTTTCCCTAATTAGTCGAACTCTTTATTCAGTTGTTTGCCTCTTTGGTCACACCCTTGTGCTACTGCTACGTTGCTCCCATCTTGCAAGAATGATACCTAAACTCCCCTTCCCTCCTCGAAATCTAGGTTAACTGGACCATTTTTTTTAGGATATCATTGGTCAATATAGTTTTAAACCTACATTTCGTAGTATATGTTATTTAAGATTTACAAATAAGTTGTTTTGATCAGTGGGTAAGGTATATTTACATTTTTGAAGCCTGAATTGATTTGCAGGGTTTTCATTGATCGGGAAATCTGAAATTTGACCTTGTGTAACTTATGGTTAATGGTATGGGAGATCAGGAATCATGCACCAAACCCCTTGGAAGATTGTCTGTTTTCTACTATGGCGTGGGGCACATGCTGAATGATATTACATCTGCATGTTGGTTTACTTATCTCTTAGTTTTCTTGACAGATATTGGACTGTCCCCAAGGTGCGATTCCTAATTCACACTGGTAGTTAATTTGATTATAATGCATCAATTCATATGAGCTATTTTCTTAATGTCATTAATGCTGAGATGTGACAATTTTATGATAAATGAGCATGCAGCATGGTTTACTGTGGAAATGTTTGGTCAATCATAGTTCTGGAGAGCTTGCAGTAATATTGTGTTTACGGCATGCCAAAGCCGTTGCAGCGTAATCGCTGACATGGCTTCTAAAAGGAAAGGATGTGCCACTTTTGTTTCATCATAATCATCTTCCGTTAAATGTTTACATTTCAAGAGTCCTAGTATATATAAATTCAAATCATGGTCAGAGTTGAGATGATTCCCTTTTGAATGTCATACTTGATGAGTTATTGACAACTTCTGTCAATCCCAAAGATAAAGCAAGTATTAGCTCTTTCTAGTAGCATTTTACAATTTCCATGGCTATAAAATATCAAACTGAGCTGTTTGTTAGGGAAGGATTAGCACCCTAGGCTCTAATACGTCAAAGAAAGCTAAATCTCAAACTCGACCGGAATAGGTCTTGAAAATCAGTTGTAACAAATTTAATTACAATTTAAATTGTTAATTAACAATTTGAATGCTACAATATAAATGAAAAATAGTGCAGTGAACTAGAATGAAGATAAAGTTGGGACCTAGTCCAAATAGAACAATCACTATTAAAAATAAGAAAAAGGTTACAACTATAGTTCTCAAACTCTTACCCTAAAATCACCTAGGTAACCTTTTGAACCAGACTCACAATTGAGCTTCACTATTTGCTACTACCGGTCAACAACCTAGGTCGAGTTTGGGACTTAGTGTACTCTGACTATCAAAGCCTAGGGTGCCCGTCCTATCCCTCATGTCCAGTTAACATGAATTTTCTATGCTTAAAGTTTGTAGAGCGACACTGATGGAGTAGGAAAGTGAGATCGTAATCCCAAGGCAGGATTTGGAAAAACATGTCTGAGATGGACTTCATTTCTTAGGCCGTTTAGTATTTTTGCTGGAATATTACTACTGTCTCAGTTTATTGTTGTAAACTATGCAAGAAATTGCACTTTTGTGGTGGTTGTTATTCAGATCCAGTGTGAGGTGGGAGAGGATTTAACCTTGTGATTGAACATGTCAAATGTGTGAAGATTCACAGTTTTCTTTTGAAACAAATCTCCTTATGAATTAGGTTGCTTTTTGTTGTGCTAAGTTGTTTCCTCAAAATATAGGGGATTTTAAGCTCCACACGAGTATTGTATATAATAATTTTCATTTCGTTTCACAGGGCTGCTGCTGCTGTCATGCTTTCGGGCCAGATAGCTGATGGATTTACAACCATATTTGCTGGCGAACTGGTATCTCAAGATAATATATATATATATATATATATATATATATATATATATATATATATTTTGTTAGTCATTTCATGTCAGAAGTTGTGACGTAGCTTATCTTCCTTGGTACAACTAATAACCTCAGAGCAAGGCCTTTTACTCTTTCACATAGCCTCATGAGTCATAATACCAAACCCAACTGCAGGAGTTCGTTATTGTATAGTCCAGTCGGTTGTCTTCCGTTTCTTTTGCAAGTTATTTTTTTCTTTTGATTTTGCATTCTTCGGTTCGTGTTTCAATAATTTACTTATTTATCAATCTTTTTAGAACCATTTTTTTACAGCTATGGTTAAAGCTCAGGTTGTTAAGCGTGATAATGTCTGTTCAAGTCTACGAGCATTAACTTTGTGCAGAAATTATACCAACAGTTTGGTCTAAATCTAGTATGCCCTCCTAGCTTCCAAATAGGCAGGATCAAGTAATGGACTTTTTTTTTAATCTTTGAGTGATCTGCAATCTACTGGCGTTAGATGCGTGCTTAACGTCCCAAGTCATTAACTTTTCTGAACATATTCTGCATGACAACATGGTCAAGGGATATGCCTTTTTGAAGAACATAGTTATTATGAAATGATAAGACTAGCCTTCAGAATCTCTATGTCAATAGTGATTAAATTCTTGGATTTATGAGAAAAATAGTATATCAAACCTATATTACACGGATTCAAATACGTGTACCAGGTACAATAGTGTATTTAAGTGATGGATCTCCACGAATCTCTAATCTTAGGATATATGGAGGTGTTGTTAGAAAAGGGAGTTTACCATTCTCTGGTATCAAATTTGAGTTCTTTGTCTTTTTCCATCATCACATGTGGATTATTAAAGTATTCTGTTATGGTTATTATGTCAGACACATCCCATTCCCATATCAGACACATCCCATTCCCATATCGTATATGCTTAATTTGGACATACAGTAGGTAAAATTTATTGAAGGAACATATTTACAAAAAGTGTGTTAGATATTCTCCAAACTCAATGCACCATCTGGCTTTTTAGCAAGCAATTATTTTTGACAGCTCTATAGGAAAAAACAGTTCCTTAAGGGTTAGAGCAACACCAAATAGACTAATCTACAAATAAGGCGTAAAGAAAAAGAGAAGTGGTAGAATAAGAGAATACTCTTTAGTATAAGTTTGGGACTGAAGACTCACATTGTTTGGCCAACTAAAAATAAGATAAAGTACTACAGAAGCCTCCTGTTTTCTTCTTTTTTCTTATTCACTTGATATTAGGACTTTTATTCTTTAAGGGCCTTTGTTGAAGTGTTTAAGAGGTTCTGAGAAAATTTTAAGTGTAGGCTTTAGCTTTTATTGGGTTTGGGTGTAGTGTTTATTGGAGATGATGATGCATAAATTGTGTGAACAAATGACAAATATATAATGAGTGAGCGTTGAATAGTGGAGTACAGAAGTATTATATGTATTGGAGAGCTTTAGCATTTTGGACATTGGAGGATATATTAGGCATAAAGGTGATGTGGCAAGTCTCAGGTGTGATGTGAATTGAGGCAAAAGTGGAAAGAAGTACAAAAATTCAAGCCCAGGCTAGGATGAACTGCTGTCGCATCCATGTTCTTCTGGCTGTAACTATAAATGTGTATTTATGGGTTGATAAGATTGGAAAAGTACAGTTCGTAGTTCGTACAAGTGGCTTTGGTTTTGGTTGCAAGTAGTTTTATACCTGTGGCAATTTTAGGCTTTTCCTATAGACGTTTGGACATATCTTTAGATGCATCCTAGCTAACAATTCCTTGGATCCATCACTGTATCTGTTGATGTGTCCACTGTCCTGGCCAAAAACTGCCTTTGGTCCAGGCAGGTCAGTTTCTCTACATGACCTGAATTTAGAGACTTGAGAAAAAGAAAAGAAAAAAAAACAAGAATTTGGACACAACAATAGTTATATCTAGGTAAATTTTCTTTTGGACTCATGGAAAGTTTACTATTGATTTTGCATTGATTCTTTTCCCACTTTGATAATGGTAAAATGGGAGTCTTTTTGTGCCTCGGTATTTGATTTGGACTGCTTGCACTTCCTTTTTGGGTGGGGAAGGTTGTCTGTGTTTACCGAGGGTGGACCTTGGCAATGGTAAGGTTGCTCCATTTTGTCCCGGAGGTCACGGGTTCAAATCAGGAAACAGCCTCTCTGCATATGGAGGTAACCCCACAGTGGCGGGGGCCTCATGCACTGGGCTAGTCCTTTTTTCTAGGTTGTCTGTGTACCACTTTATCCATTCCGTCTCTTTGAAAATCCATTTGATGCGAGAAACAGATAGCTTTGTTAATTATTCTCCATATTAGTTCCCAAAATTCACATAATTGATAGCATCTGCAAGCAAGGAGGCCATGGCCATGCCTGAAGCAGACTTCAAATCTTTGATTATACTTGCGATATTTAAATATACGATCGTTTTTACTGAGCAGGGTCGGTTTAATGATCTTCAGATGTCAGCATATTTTGTTCCTAATTGTTTGGATTTAATTTAATTTTTGAATTGTTCAAGATTTTATGCTTTATACTGGTAAATAAAGATAATCTTTATCTTTTTGAGAAATAACTCTCTCCTTTTTTTCACATGATAGATAGACAGGTTTGGGCATTTCAAAATTTGGCATGGTGCAGGATCTGTTTTAGTCGCTGTTTCATTTTCTTCTGTTTTTGGCGGTTGCCTGCCTTGCAAGATCCTTGGCACCAATTCATTTACTGTGCAAACTATTGGATACAGCATTTTTGCAGCTATCTTCAATGTGGGTTGGGCAGCAACTCAAGTTTCACACATGTAATGACTTCCTCTGACCAGTTTCAAGTGTGTCAGGCATCTTCTTTTTATTTCCCCTTCTTTTTTCTTTCTTTATCCTTCCCACTTTATAAAAAGGGAAGAGGCACTAGTGGCGGCCCCTTCACTATTGTATTTTTATTTGTTTGTGTTACATGGATTTCTATAACACTATTCAAATTCTATTCAAAATCTCTTCGTATGTAATCACTGATAAAAATGCTTATATACTACTGTTCTATTAAGGTAATGGAGCAAAACATCCTCATCAAGTGTTCTATTACTCATTTTAATCATTTTAGGAATGAAATTGGTTAACGACTCACTTGTGAATGTCCAACTACAATTAGTAATTTTTGTTATATGTACATGCAGTTTAGTATTAAAGCATTGCTGAAGAGTATCAGAATAATTTATAGAGTTAACTGGACAAAGTAAAAGATGGAATAGGAATTACATAAAATTAATGGTCCACCAGTGAACTCCTCCAAGTCCCCAATTACCACCACAGGCTAACCCCAAGGGGTTGGCCCAAGTGGAATTTCCACTCGGCCTTGGTGCCTCAGGAAGCATCAGGTGGAGGGTGGGGGGGAGGGGGTTTGAGTACCAATTAGGAAGAAAAAAAATTAAATTAAAAAATGTATCCATGTCATTGGAAAATTGTGTAATTTGTTTTCCTCTTATTTGTTGCAGGTCTATGGTGAATTGCATCACGCTGAATTCAACAAGTAGAGTAATTTTGGCTAGTTGTCGCAATGCTTTTACAATGGTTAGCACCTCCCTGAATCTGATTTTTATGTATAGTTCTATTTAGCATGACTAGGCATTTTATAGAAGGTAGTGCTCATTCTTTTAATTTTTGGTTGAATGGTTGAAACATTTTTTCACAGGTCGCCAACCTAAGCCTCTATGCAGTTGCTTTTATAGTATTCAGATTCAATACATCAAGGACACTTGCTGATGTTGAAAGTCAGGTGTGTTGATTTAATTAATGTTATTGTAGATGTTAAAGGATTTTCATTTGAGTGTGCTCTTACCTCATTCATGTTTGGGCAGTACCGCTGGATAGCACATTTGTCAATTTTTATTGGATGCTGCTTCGTTGGCATATTTCTTCTTGGAACCGAAGAGCCAAGGTTTACCACATATTCTTAATTTCACATATCCGTAATCTTTCTTCCAGTTATTGAGGGAGTTCTATTATATGTTTCCTTTCTTTGACGCTTATTTAGATAAAAATGTTATTTATTTTGACAATTGAAGAACATTTGCTTGAAGAAGATAAACATGAAGAAAAAAAAAGCCACACACGCAACACAACCATATTTCAAGGGCTATTGTTTGGCCTTGTGCTTTATTGGAATGTTAACCACATTCTTAACTTTTTGTTTCTTTGAAAGATTAAGGTCGGAAGTAAGATTTTGGGTAGCAGGAACTGTCAAAAAAAATCCCATGGGATTTTTGTCTTATGCATTTGATGAGAATTTTGCTGTGCATAAATGTAACAGCAAACAGAAATACCTACACTTGATTTTTTTTTTTTACTCGTAGAAAAATATTTATCGCAGTATCTGAACATAAATTTATCATTCATATATTGGCGTCTTATGTGAATATTTTATTTACTTAAAAGTCCATCTGCGTGTTGCATTCAGCTACTTATTGTATCAATTGTATACATTTCTTGTGTAGATTGAATCAGGATGTTCAAGGAAAAAACTCTACAAGGATTTCTTGGGCTTACTGGTTTAAAAAAGTATTATACCATCAAGTTGCTCTTGTTTATGTCCTTACCAGACTAGTGACTAATGTTTCACAGGTCAGCAGACATTTTTCACTTTTTGTTTCGTGATAGTGATTCTCTTAGATGATAAGATGCTTCAGTTTCACTATCAAATAATATTTGTGGGCAGTGTGAATTTTTGTAAAAATAGGGAGCTCATATTCTGCGAAGGCTTTTGAGCATCTGAAGGAAGAATTCACTGAAAGATGCATTTTCTCTTAAAATCATCCTGCAATACTGTTTCCCTTGAAGAATTTAATTAACAAAATTATTTGAACTTCCTTTTATCATTCATCAATATGGCTTAACTTTGTTTTTTATTTTATTTATTTATTTATTTTATATTCTATTTTTGTTGGGTGCAGGCGTTTCTTGCATTCTATGTCATTAACGATCTGCAAATGCCTCTGTCAACTAAAGCTTTGGTACTTACCTAAATCTTGTCAACATCAAAGTTCCAACAATAAATAGTATTTTTTATCGGTATAAGAAAGATACACATTGCCAATATTTATGTTTTACCAATTTGGTTAGGTTCCAGCCATTATCTACATATGCAGCTTCATTGTATCAATCCTTCTACAGGTCCTCTTGAAACTCTGCTCTGTATTTTTCAATTTTTTTTTTTTTTTTTTGTATGATTCATATATTTTTCTTCTTTTATTGATATTTAACCATTAGATATCCTCTCTGTAGGAGATCACCTGGACTGGCCAACGTCTAAAGACCTTTTTTTCACTGGGAGGAGTTCTTTGGATATTTTGTGGTTCAGTGATCCTCCTTTTACCAAGAAGCATGAATTTCTATATGTACCTTCTGTCAATAGTTATTGGCATAGCAAATGCTCTAATGACGGTATGATATAGCTTCTGTGCTTTCAATATGTACTTCATTTTATGCAATCTACAAGTCCATCGTACTTGAGTCAAATTGATGGCATGATGTCAAGATTTAATTCAATTATGGTTTCCAATTCTGACTCGGATAACCTGTTCATTTCAATGAATTCTCTATATCTTGGATGTATTAAAAATTTAAAACCTGTTTGAAAACGATTGTATTTTCACTGAACTTTGAAACTTTGTTTGATTTCTTGCCATTTCCAAACATTTAACATCTAAAAAAATTTGCAATGTGAATTGACTCTTATTAAAACAAGAAGTATTTTAAACAAGTAGATCGTGTGTCTGTTATTCCCCAAACTTGTTACCTGTCTATCCTTATCTTAAAATTCCTGAAATTTTATAATGAATATTATTTATAACGGAGTAACAGGTGACTGGAGTAAGCATGCAAAGTGTTGTAGTTGGTGAAGATCTCAATGGCTGTGCTTTTGTTTATGGATCATTGAGCTTCTTGGACAAAATCTCATGTGGGATTGCCTTGTACATTCTTGAATCATATCATGGTAAGTTTTCTCTCTATTTGATTCTTTATATCTTATATCTACATCCCACCCCCTGCATGTATTATTTTCAATGCTTTATCTGGATATTGTATCTACAGGTTCAATACTAATTTTATGCTACCTATAACCACATTCATGTTTAGATTGACCAAATTCATTTTGTAGACAATTTGCTATGCTTCGGTTTTTTCTTTTTTTTTGGCGATTCCTATTTAGTTTTAGCTTAGCTCAAATGTGCATAAAGCTATCATTGCTTAGATATTGCTCACTGCATGTTGTTAGTAGATTTACATATTTTTTTTCCTTTTTCTCAATCTAATTTGTTTCTCTAAAAACTGTTCCCTTCCAAGATGTTGATGGTTTGCTGACAAATTTTTTGCCTTGACATGATTCCCTCTTGTGCAGATAACTCTCCAAAACTGCAGAAATGTAATTCAATACTTTCGTGTTTTTCGGTGACAAGATACGGTTTGGGTCTTGTCCCGGCAGTTTGTTCACTTGTTGGTGTGGTGGTTACGTACACCATGGATCTCCACACACCCATTTCAAAACCTATAATGGAGCCCCTATTGGCATAGCTTTTAATCCACAGTAACATGGAGCTGTTCCAGCATTTCAACTATCAACATGATACAGAGAACTCGATCCTTGCATCGACTCTACTCAATGACACCCTTTAGCCACTGAATTTTCTTCGGCATAGGTTTTTTTTTTTTTTTCCCCTCTCAATTCATTATCAGCACACCCATTGAATTTGTTCACCATTTAGCATGTATTATCTTGAAATATTACAGCTGTAATTGTATATAATATCGTAAAATGTACAATTCATGTTCTGAAATTATGATAATTTAACTGGGGGATTACATTTATATAGCCTGTTGATGGTGTTACCAGCTTGAAGTTTGTGTCGAGTGTACAGAAGTTGGTGGTCCAAGGATCTTTTATTGAACAATAGCTCCAAGAACAAAGGGAAACAAGTGATTATCATCCAAAGCCTCACGATTGATGGGAAAATAGTCCATGAGCATTATATGTCGCACGTTACGGTTGTGGCTTAGTGATATTTATTCAATTTTCATCAGAGTAGAAAGTTTTTTTCATCAAAGTAGAAAGTTATAATCCTGTACACTCGCCCTCATTTTTTATGTTGAAGGTTTAGGGCCCGTTTGGCATGCGTTTTGTTTTAGGCGTTTTGTTTTTGGTTAAAACAGAAACAATGTTTTTGCTTTAGGGTGTTTTGGAAAAAAATCAGAAGCACATTTGGGAACGATATTTTACTGTGAAAATGTCGGAAGCAGAAACATGCAAAACATGTTTGATAAGTCATGCGTTTCAAGAAATTTGAAAACAAAACATGTTTGGTCACTCCAATTGTTACCAAAAAAATATATAAAACAGAAAAAAAAAATGTTTGGTTATCATTGTTTTTAATTTGTTTTTATAAATTTAAGTGTATTTATAAATTTATTTCTATATAAATAGTCATCATATTTTTAATAGATGTGAAGAAATTTGAACACACAAACACACACACACACACACAAATATATATTAATTTTTGCAATAACCTATTTACAAGTTGTTTGCAATAACCTGCTTCAATTTTCTTATCCTATTACCTGTATAGTCCAACACAACATTAAAAATAAAAACAAAACCCAACTGCAAGCATAAGTGGAAAAAAGGGTAAACTATTTACAAGTGCTTAAATATTCAACCTACAAATTTATTAAACTTGCAAGTCATTTATTGCTTTTTTAGCCTTCTTAAAGTGATGAAATATAAGAATTAATACAAGTTGAAATATGCAAAGACAGCATTTGAAACACTAATTTACAACCACCTATTTTATAATTATACCAAGGTAATAACATCAATGCTATGAAGGTAAATAATAACCACCTGTTCTAATATATATACTAACAACAAAGCTTTCAAGGTAAATAATCACTTGCAGACACTGTGGAGAGAGCAAAATGCATAATTCTAGTGAGTTATACAAATGAATATTACAAGGATGAAACAACTGAGTAGTGAAAATACATAATGCAGAATGCCATTTTTGAAGATTACAAAGATGATACAAGTGAGCTAGCCATATTGATTACAAGGATGACGCTAGAAATACAGAATGAAGATTACAAGGATGATACAGCTGAGCAGAATCCAGAATGCCATTTATAAGGTCTTTAGCTATGGAAATACAAGGATGAAAAACTTGGGATAGCATCCTTGATACACAACAATAGCAAAGACTTTTCTTCAACCAAAATGCATCATCTATCTTTAGAAACTTGCAGTATGAAAGCTTTCTCAGTATTTTGAGAAGATAACCTCAAAATGAATTTGATCATAGCAGTCCCATTACACAGCAGCAACCATATGCAAAAGAGGAGCACAACAATATTACCCAATTGTCCACATAAAGTTATGACAACAATGAATTATACCAAGTATAATAAATGCCACCATTTTGTAATATTCTCTTCCATTTTCACTGGTTATGAAGCATTTGAAAATTGCCATTAAATATTTGTGATTCACATATAATTTGAACAAGTATAAATAATTAATGAATAAAATCACAATGTTTGAGGTGGAATGATGAAACTAATGACACGATAATTCCCAAGTATTAAAAGATCAAACAAGAAAATCCCCATAAGGCAACCTTAGAACCAACAGGTAATCTGATTGGCTGTCCCTTGAATTTGGATGGCCACAACCATAATTTACATGGCATTCAAACAGGCCCTCAATTTGTCTCCATTAGTACGCAGTATCGTCCCTTTATTACCTTGGCCATGTGGTGAATTATCCCATTAAATCTATGTCAATTACACTACACAGTTCATATAAATAATTTCCAAATTAGCAAGAAAATGAAGTATTAGTGCTTCTATATTTCTCATTTTGTCTAATGTCTTCAAACTAAGATCAAGAGAATTGTCAGACTTTAAATCACTCTCAAGACCTGAAATTCCTAAATAACAACAAAACCATGGAGTTTCTGGTAGAAAGAGCATTTAATCTATTTTGTAGCAAAGATGGCACTATTTTGACTTCTATACAACAAATTTTCAGTATAATAATTTTTGATATGAAAGGCAACCGAACAACAATGACACTATGATAATTATCTTTAAGCATGCTTCACTTAAGAAATTCAATTACACCTTGAAATAAGCTTTTAGGGAAGCTCTTCACATTAGATGTTTTTATGTAATTTGTATTATATTTGTAGGTTTTTTTTGTTGTTTAATACATTAAATACCATTTAAGTAGGATTAAATAGATTAAAAAACTTAGTGGATAAATAGATTAAATTTTTTTGTTTATCTTATTGCAAAGATTTTCTCAGCAACCAAACAGAGGAATTTCCTAACACTTAAACAGTAATTTCAACTCTTTTGAACTAATTTCAAGAACTCTTTTGGACTAATTTCAAGAATCAAGACTAACTCAGAAAAAAAAAAAAAAAAAAAAAAAAAAAAAAAAAAAAAAAAACACAAACATATTAAACACGCTGGAAAATGGTAAGGCCTTAGGCTAACACACGCTTGGTTTGAAGTTTGGAGAGCTTGCCGTCGATGATGAGGGCGTCGGCGTCGGCGGCGGTGGTTCCAGTGGAGACCTCGAGCAGAGAAGAAGGCAAGGAGAGATTTCCAGGTGATCGATGAGTTAATGAAATCGACGCCCTCTATTCACGAAGACAAAATTGAACAAATCGAAACCGAAGAACACTTAAAAAAACATTAAATCAAACGTTTAGGGTTTCAAAGACTTACACTACTATGAATTGAGCCTCTTCTTCACATATCACAGGTCGCCTCCAAAATCGCCAGAGCTTAGGGCTTCATAGGAGAGAGAAATTTTCGGGCCAAATGAACTACAATATTTTAACTTTTGCTTTTATACGTGGGCCAAAATGTTGCAAGTAGTTTAATTTTGTTTCGACCGCTACAGTTGTGTTTGGCCCGCTACAGTATTGAAACATCCAAAAACACCAATTTCTTGCTTCAATTTTTTGGCCTAATTTGTGAAATGTTTTGATACTGTGTAAAACAATCTGCCCACTACCAAACATGTTGCAACCCACTTTTTCAGCTACAGTACCCAACCTGCAACAAAAACACTAAAACAAAGTAGATAACAAACAGGCCCTTAACTTCTCGAAAGGACAAATTGACACGTGAATGTGTTTCTTATTATATAATTTTAAAATAATAATGTCACATACAAGTATAAAAATATGTATTTTGATCAGATATAAGGTTGATGAGTCAGCCTCGTAATAATTTATACTTGGACAATCACCATTGGTTTTTTTCAAATTATAGACTGTGAAGTGTTGAAGTTGATTTGAATTCAAAAATTGTTGACCCTATCTCCAAATCCCCTCCCTTTAGAACTCAAAGGATGTGTTTTCCTCTTGAAATATATATATATATATATATATATTTTCGGTAAATAACTACAAAATTGATAATAATAAAAAATTCTTCTTGAAATATTGCATCTAAAGATTATAGATTGTATTGTGAAGTATTTAAGTTCATTTGATTCAAAATTTGTGGACCCTATCTCCAAATCCCCTCTTTTTAGAATTTAAAGGATGGCTTTTCTTTTTGAAATATATATATTTTTTGGTAAATAACAAAATTAAAAATATAAAAAAAAATTCTTGAAATATTGCATCTAAAGATTAAACAATATTGTTATTATCTAGCTTTTTTAACATATATGCTTTACCAGAGGCTGCATTATTCGAGGATACACGACAGAAGGAATTGTTCTATATTCAAAACTTCACCTTCAACAAGCGTAGATTTATTTCAATCATTTTCTTTCTATCCCGAATCATGTGTCTTTCTCGTAAGACTAAGAGCATTAAATAATTAAATAAAAAGAATCAAATCGCACCATCTCTGTAATAAGTAAATGCCTCTTTTTCTCCTGAAGTTGTCGGAATTATTCGTAATAAATATCCCATAAATGCACACTTATTTGCTTTAATTCCTATGAAAAGTATCTATGAATGCACACTTATTATTGTTATTTTCTATGAAAAGTAAATTTGAAAAGATTAAACGATATTGTTATTATATTTGAAACAGAATTCCTGACTTGAATGGTATGTGTGTTGTTGGGCCAATAAGTACTTTAAGAGAGAAAAAAAAAAAAAAAATTTCAAAGATAAAAAAGTAAGATCACTAGTCCAAACTTGCTAGTCAATTAATGAAAAAATTATACTATGATTATTTAATATATTTTTTATTTTTACATAAAAAAAATATTTTAGGTGAAAACAATCCAACCTTGTATAAAAAATGTTATGGATCTAAAATGATGCCTATCATCTTGGAGGGTTAATTGAAAGGAAAAAAAAAATTGAGAAATATTTTATCATATAATATCTTAAAATATAAATTTTTTTTGCAGGGCACCCCTTCCTTTAAATTATAATTAGCGGTCAAAAGTTCAAAACATCGGAAATTCCAAATTGTCTTTAAGATTAATTGCATAAACATTTATTGAAAATTATACAATAAAAATACGCAATTTCTTTTTATATATGAAAAATTTTGTGCAATTAATCTTAAAATAATTTATGAGTCGGGGTTATTTTTGTTAGCAAATGTAACATGTAGATTTTTTTATTCGTTTAACCATTCCTTCCGGTAAATAACGTTTTAACAGAGTCGATAAAAGGCAGATCGGAGAATTACGAGGGTTTCTCTCTCTTTGGTTTTACACCACCTCTTCGCTCGCATCACCGCGAGCTGCCTCTCTCCTCTCTCTCTCTCCGTGCAGATCACACAGTAGTCAGAATCTAGGGTCAGGTTTAGAGTTTAGACAATATTTCGTGCTATTGATTCAATATAGATCAAAGTTGTGTACCGAACTAGGGTTTATTTATTGGTGTGTATGAGAAGAAGATGAGTGTGGATCTGGTGTCTTCCAACGCACATGGCAACCTCGACGAGCAGATTTCACAACTCATGCAGTGCAAGCCCTTGTCCGAGCCCGAGGTTCTTATCTCTCTCTCATATGTGGTTTCTTGCGAAATCGGAATTTTATATCATTATTGTTCTGCAATAAATCTTATCCCACGACTTTTCAATTTCGAAGTTTTTGACGGATCTGGGCTAATTTTGCATTGGTAATACTTAATCAATGGAAATGAAATATATTCTGTATATGTATATATTTATGTTATGTATGTATAAGACTGATCAGTCAATTTAGTTAACCTAGCGTTATCTGCATATTTTGGAGCTGAACTATGGGTGATCTTGACGTGTTGCCATAAATTGATTTGGTGAATGAACCCGATACAGAATTCAAGTTATTTTTTTCTTGAAATATCTTGAGTCTGTTTTGGGATAAGAATCCATGTTTTTTGTGCGGTCTGGAGATCAAATGCAGAAAAACAATTTACTTGTCAAAAAAAAAAAAAAAATGCTGAAAAATGTTTAACTATTAATTTATATTTTGGAAGCTTGTGGGTGGAGGTGTAATATAAGAGGAGAGTTGCTGAGTGTGGAGAAGAGAGCAAACTAAGAGATCGGTTGAGGAGTGTCACAAAGTTCTGGTGCTATAGCCCTGGGGGATTTTTGTGGATTAGGTTTGGAAATCTGGAGGAAATATTGCCGTACATTTAATCAGGACTGCTACAGAAGTTTTGGCGAGCGCGGGTGGTCGCAAGTTGCAATAAGCGATATAGGGTGTAGTCTTAAGCCATTCACGAGGCTATTCATTGTTGTTCGCGCATACCCAGCTTTTCCAAATCTGTATAGATGGGCCATATATTGATTAATTTGGTAGATGACCATTTTCTGATTACCTTAAGTGCCAGTACCAATGTCCTAGAAAGTTTGAACTGGCCATTGTGCATTGTTTGCACCTTTTATTTTAGTCGGTAAGCGGTTAAGTTATATTGACCAAAAAGATGGAAGATTTACAATAAAGCTCAACACAAGCATGTTGGATCAAGAAAATCTTAGACCAACGGGTAACACACCTAAAATATCTCGCAATGAGAGAACAGTTTGGAAAAGAAACCAAATACTAGAGGTACCATAGCCCATTCAAAACACTACAGCTTGCCAAACATACCATAGGCACACTGGGTGGCCAATATAGGCCATGAGCCAGATCCAAAAGAATATACTTCATTAAGAGGGCGGAGTGAACCCACTTTGAAAATAAAAAACATGCAGGCAAACCCTCTTGTTTGGTATCACCAAACGAGTAATACCCTATCACTGAAGACTGCAGCAACCAACATGTGGCATCATCAACACATCCAGAAAGCATTCTAATGGTATTTTTCACGTTTTAAGCATCAGAAAATTTACATTTGAGAGTATACCAAACCTGGAAAGACGTGTGTAGGTGACCAGCTGGTTTTCACACCCTGATGTTGGCTAAAGAGTAATATTAAGACAATGCACTAGTTAACATGTGAAGAACGCACCTATCTTAAACCTCAGTGCAACTGGATTAACACCCAGAAAAGCTTCACGAAACAAACCCTACCATCACGCCATGCCTAGGGGTGGCAATTCGTGTTCGCGGGGTCGTATTCTTGTCGTGTCAAGACATGGGTATTCTGTTATATGGGTCGACACGATTTAGTCGTATCAAGAAACCTCGGCACCAACACGACACGATTATTAGACAGGTAATATGACCCGACATGCGTAACTTTTTAATAAATGGTTCAAGACTTGACAATTTGACATGACATAGCAAGACACATTTAAGTCATATACGTCACATTTATCCAAATGGGTCTTTTTAACACGAACACGATACAGTTATTTGACACGTTTCGAGTTGGTGGGTCAAACATGAACACGACACTTTTAATTACTGTTTCAATTTGGGTCAACGCGATTATGGCACGAACACGATTAAGCCAAACTTAAACCCAAACCAACTTGTCCCGTGTCGTGTTCGAGTCGTGTTACCGTGTCGTGTCAAATATTGCCACCTCTTGTCACACTAAAAAAAAACTTAAAGTATCTTATTATGACACGAACACGACTAAGCCAAACCCAAATTCACTTATTCCGTGTTGTGTTCGAATCGTGTTAGCGTGTCATGTCAAATATTACCACCCCTAGCCACACCAGAAAAAACAAAGTATCCTCATCCCACAAAATCTGGTATGGTCGATAACCTCTGTAACCACTTTCTCAAACCACGGCTATGGCCATGGCCAAATCGCAAATTGGCATGAAAGTCACCTCAAGCAAGCCGTGAATCCATCTTCCTCCAAACAATTGACAGAGGCATGCCTTGGTTGTATACTCGCTGTATTGTGCATCTACTCCAGTTTCCTAGATAACACCCTCAAGTCATCTTAGTTACTCGCTGCAGTGTCATTGCATTACCATTGAAAAGATAATGGCAGTTCACTGGCTTCCTTTTTTACCACCATTTGCCAATATTGAGCTAGTTACCAATAGGCCAGTGGCCTAGCGGTACTAGGCTCCTACTTTCCAAAGGGAGATTAGGGGTTCGAGCCTCGATGGAGGCAAGCGTGTGTGAGTACCAACTAGGAAAAATAAAAAATATTGAGCCAGTTGGAGCTCTTTGGTTCTTGCTCTAGAACTTGGCAAAAATAAATTGTTCACATGAAGCATGATGTCAAGATGACTTTTAAAATAGAATAATTTGAGAATTGGTAAAGAGACCTTTTTCTGAAGGGCTCAAGTGATTCCCTATTTACTGATTCATATAACCTATTATTAGTTGTTCACACTTCTAGTGCAAAATAATGTGAGAGTGTACTTATACTACTAATAAAGTTGCTCATTGAGTTTTTCCCCTCACCATATGGTCTCCTTTTACCACTGCTTAAAACTGTAGCACTAGTTTCACTATAGTATTCTTTTCTCTCTCGACCATTTCTCATTGGAAGCACTATTTTTTATTTTGAATGTTCTGCAGAAGTTTTATTCAAAATGTTTAATGCTGTCCAATCTTCTCGGTTTTGTCCAAAATTGGATTAGTTTAATTAGAGACTTGAAAAGTTGCAATACTTCTTGACACCTAAATCGCTTGTGAGCACAGTTATCAAGTAATCAACTATAAGCTCACGAGTTACTCCAAATATTTGATAAGATAAAAAATTTGATTCATCATATATCATTTGTATGATATAAATCATGTTATTTAATGTTTTAAAAACAAAGATGAGCTTTTTAAGACTGGAACCTACTAAAAATATGAGCTTGTGGGCTTTATGTTGGCCTGTCTAAAGGAGCCTGGCTTGTAGTAGCCTAGTAGGTCGAGGCGCTCCCCCTAAGTTTTGATGAACTTGGGGCTTTTTTAGAGCCCAGGCATGTCTTTTGCAAGTTCTTGAACTTATCACATCTTATGTTATTATTTAATTGAAGTTCAGACGCTAATAACGCTATGATTAGAGTAATTGGATTTTATTGTTACTATGTAGGGCTGTTTGTAATTTATATTATGGGTCAGGTTGTGTATTTATGATCCAGTTATATGGAAATGAATGTAACATTTGTTTGAAGAATTCAACATTTCCTTTTATTTTCGTCAATGGGCTTAGACAAGCATACTGTAAAAGAAACCTCACCAAGCATACAGCTGTGACCCAGTCAGACAAACCTTGTTGGGCCCATCAATGGGGTTTCACAGACAGACATATCTCGGGTTCTGTTTTCTTTAGGTTTTTGGATTATCTTGCCCGCAATTAGGTAATTCTGGTTTTGACAAATCAATACAATAAAATTCCATTTTGTTGAGATTGCATTAAAGGTGGTTGTCAACTTGTCATTTTGCCCAATCATATTGAATATTTTGTTAGATGGTTTGACCGTTAAAATATGCAAGCAACTTTCTTTTGTATATGTTTTTGGTTTCTACCAAAAAAGGCACAACATTTAAGAGTATTCGTATTTTTGTGGATGTAGGTTAGGGTTTTATGTGAGAAGGCTAAAGAGATACTAATGGAAGAGAGTAATGTTCAGGTGAACTTTGTTCAATTTGATCTGTCATTGCTATTACTATTATTTCTGTCATTAACTGACCTTAGTAATTTAATGTAATGTGAAATTTTTTATCCTATATTTCTTTGAGTGAATGTTTGTTACTTTGCTATGGATAATCTTTCCAATCTTCCCAAACTTTGATTTCTCTTAAATTTCCTTTGCTACCAAGTGAAAAATGGACGAGTTGACTTATCGAAAAAAAGAAAAGAATGGATGAGATGGAAATTGTTTTTACTTTGTTGAAGGTTTACAGCTTTATTTGATCAAGTGAATGGATTTAGTGGGTTTTGCATTTGAGTCGCACCTGCAGAATGGTTGACCCTGTGTTATTGTATAATGACGAAATGTGTGATGCTGCTGTTAGCCTGTTACACACCATAACACACTATTAGTGAAGCATACACTTGAGGAAGGTGTTCTATGCTAAAGTTGCAGGATTGCCCCATTTCCTTGTAACTGCATTGTGTATGGTGATATATAATATGGTTGAACCCTTGTTACTGTATAATGAGGAAATGTATGATGCTGCTGTTATACACTGTAACATGTTATTGAAGCATACAATTGAGGAAGCTGTTCGTGCTAAAGTTGCAGGATTTTCTCATTTACTTGTAACTGCATTGTGTGGGGTGATGCAGACTTGAGTGTGTGGCTGTACATCTGCATTCTTTTTTCCTCCCTTATTTTCCTCCCTTATTATTATTATTGGGGTGGGAGGTGGTCCTGAAGGTGTCCCCAAAAATTTATGTTCAGCATCTTTTTTAGTGATTATATGTTGACTTATTGGTGCATTATTTAGCTTTAAGTATTTAAAATACTTGCTTGAATTTTCCTAAATCTCTCAAAATATTGAATTTCAGTTGTTATTTGGAATTTTTATTCTGGCATGCAACACGGACTCCTTTTCTTTTGCATATGAAAGTTTAATTGTTGCTTTTCCTGCTGTGCAGCCTGTAAAAAGCCCCGTGACGATTTGTGGTGACATTCATGGGCAGTTTCACGATCTTGCTGAACTTTTTCGCATTGGAGGGAAGGTATTTGTTTGCTGCTATCACATTTTATTCTCATTTTTATCCTTGAGTTATGGGGACCTAATTGATGCCCAGCCAAGGGAGTGGAATTAAGAATGGAAGTGGGTATCATAGCCGGTTGAAGTGAGTGCTATTAGCCGCACATTTGTTCTTATGTAGAATCTTACTTATTGATCTCCTCAATATTCGTACAGAAATCTGAGTATTGGAGAGATACAGAGATCTTAGAAAACTTCAACTTCACAATGAGCATCCTCCTCCAAAAAAGGATTGCCTATTCCTTTCATTCCAATTGCACCACTGTTGTCAAAGCACATTGCTTCTCACACCAGTTTTGTTATCCTTTTCATCTGTGCTTCCTTCCAGCTATCTATCAACTTTACGGGAGATCTAGGGAGGACTAGCTGCACACCAAAGAGAAAGGAGACTATGAGAGCCTACAACTCTCCTCTTGCACACAAAACATCTATGAGTAATGAAAAGAAGTATCTTAAGTAGACAATTGATAGTCAGAATTTTTCCTTTTGTTGCCATCTACTAAAAAAAAGAAAGAAAAAAGTCAACTTGGTTCTCACTTTAATGTGCCAAATGGTGTTAGTCGTTACAAGGAAACATGTTGATCCTACCTCCTTCAAGGTCTTGTAGGAAGCCTCAAATCCCCCCCTCCCACCCCGTCATCCTGACTACATCCACAACTCTATACTTGCTATAATAGCAATTTGGAAATTATCCAGAAAGGACCTCGTTCAAGGTTTTGTGGTAAGCCTCAAATCCCCTCTCCCACCCTGTCATCCTGACTACATCCACAACCCTATACTTGCTATAATAGCAATTTGGAAACGATCCAGAAAGGAGCTCCTTAGAAGTCCATCACATACCAATTTTCATTGTCAAATTCTAGTTCTCTGTTCATTTCCAGCAACAAGCCTGATGAACTTCAAGAAGTCCTTCCATCTATTATGGTCTTCCACACCTTCACTCTGTTTGGCATGAAAATACAGACCACGAGCGTTTACATGAAGATAACAAAGATTGAGAGCGAATGTAGAATGTTGTAGGTACGAAAATGAACCCCTACAAATGTCTATATGACTTTATACACAATTATATATGGATGTACACACAATCATATATAATTATATATAAATGTACATGGAATTATATTTTTTCATTTGACTAGTTGAATACTTTTTTTACGCGTCAAGTATATGAATAAAGTAGATTAACACTGTCAAGAGTAAACAAAATACGGAGTGAACTAATAACCATTGGTTGCTTTTGACACGAGTTTTTGAGTCCTCGCCCTATTTCAAGAGCTTTTGATACTACCATGTTGCTTTTGTTGCTAGCTAGTTCATGCATTCACCAATATTATATTCGTAGTCTTCTTATAATTATTTTATTCAGGCACATAATTTTTTGTTGCATTTTCTTATTGGCAGTGCCCAGATACAAATTACTTGTTCATGGGAGATTATGTTGATCGTGGGTATTATTCAGTTGAAACTGTCACGGTAAAGTATTATCCCGACCTTGGGGTCATTCTACTACTGTGTGAAGTATTTCTTTTCCCATTCTCTGTAGAGAACTGTCTATGACTAAAGTTTACTCTTGTAAGAAACATTTCACCAGGATGATATTGCATTTGTTCTGCTTGATGTACTAGCTTTTATTTTCCTATTCGGAACTCACACACCCACTCTGCCCCTATAAGGACTGCACTAGCATTTATTATTATTATTATTATTTTGGGTTAAATGCATTGCAGTAACAATTATGAATCCTGTTGCCATTGTAAAACTGCTTTTATCAACACATGTTGCATGATTGTCTTGATATTTTATGATATAAAATGCTCAATTTTAAAATAATATTTATGTGGGTACGATAGTGAAATCAGAAGTACCGAAATTTACTGAAATAGTTGATGGAATAAAATATTGGTTTATCTGTTGATATATTCAATATCAAGCAATATCAATCATATTCTCTCAAATAGATTCACGAAAATGTCTCTGGATATATTTTGATAAATATGGTGTTCTATTCTAATTCTTAATACGTTAGAGTTGGGATTAAATTACACCAGGTGTAAGAATTCTTATTATCAACCACCCTCTCCATAACTTCTTTTATGACTCATATTTTGTCAAGTTAAACTGTTCGATTAGCTGTTCTACATATGCTTGCCTGATATCAATTTGATCACATATTACGAATCAAGAATGTCCCATAAAGATAATACTCCGAATTAGAGTTTTGTTCTTGTATCGGATGAAGTGTGAAAAAAACTCTCTTATACAAGTTCTAATGCAAATATGATGTGCAACAGTTCTGATGCCCATAGATAATGAATTGGTGGGAATAGGTAGAAAACTTGTAGGAGTAGAAGTAATGCTATTGGCTTTGGTTCTCTTTTTTAAAAATTATTGCAGTTTTATTTGTTGTAATGGTTGATAGGGTGCTAGGATTTTAGAAAATTGATTAGAAATTATAGACTGAAAGTATTCTGGGATTTCGTGTCACTGAAAGTCTAGAAGTTTAGGAGAGGATTAGAGTTCAAGGATGAAAATTAAAGTAAATAAAGTAGAATCTGATCACTGAAAATTAAAAAAGTGGGAAGAAGTAGAATCCTCTGGGCTTAACTCCGTAAATTTCAGCATGCAACACACAATCACCTAAAGTTTCAAAGATACTCTCAAATTCTCTGATCTCAACTCTCAGAATTTTTAATCCAATTGTGATCCATTGTATTTGGAGCTTTCTTCTTGTTTTAGCTGGCTTCGTCATTAATCTATGTTTTGGCAAAAAAAAAGTATTTTGGTAATAGATTTTTCTTGTCAATATTGTGTGTAGATGTCTATATATGAATGTATGTGTATTTGACGTTGAGGGACTTGTTTCCACCATGTGTAAAGAAAAATTAATCAAATACATGTCAGTTACTTTTTGTAAGATTTAATCTTTGAACAATCCATTGAATTTCTTCGTGTTTATATGCATGCCAAAAATATTCTTAATCGGAGATTTATAAATTCCTCATCAACATCATGCTTTAAAGTTGACCTTTTATTATTTTTATTAGGAGAAATCTGAGTTCAGGGATTGGAGTCTTGTGTATAGTTGTCTATATATTGGGCATGCATGACAAATTCAATAAAAATTATCAATGGTTGGATTACAAAAAGACAGATTCTGCATCAAGTGATTGAGGGGAGAAATACGAGTTCAGTGATTGGAGTCTTGTGTGCATTTGTCTTGACATTGGGCATGCATGACAAATTCAATAAAATTTATCAATTGTAGGATTACAAAATGACAGATTCTGCATCAAGTTATTGAATGGTGAAGAATAATGTTCATACACCACGTGTAAATTAATCATTTTCCGTAAAGGTATATATATGTGTATGTATTTTGCTTATATATTGTACTGGGTCATGTTACCAATATATATATGTTCCCCGATTTGCAAGTCATGCCTTCAATAAAATTACATTTTAATTGTTGTTACTAGATATGTATAATACTTTGTTTCTAATATAATATACGCTCTTACTATATATCTTTGATCTGAAATTTTTCTACGGTCATAATCATATGTATCTCTCTCTATTAATATATTTAGATTTACCTTACTATAAGAAGTTGTCTATATACTTATTGATGCACGTCATGCCTTGATACATCACATAATTGTTATGTTAGCATATTTTATACAGTATTTTGATTCTAAGTGCTTTTGATACATCTTTGTTGTGGCATTTGATGGTGAAGTTGATTTGGTGGGGTTGATGTGTGAATGATATTTGGAATGCTTTTCAACATACTTACTGATTTGCGCATAATGTCCTTTAGACATATAATACTTCTTCTTTCTTTCTTTCTTTCTTTATTTATTTTTTTTAAAAAAATATACAGTACTTTGTTTCTGATTTGATCATTAGTCTCTCTTATTTATTGCACTTGTCATTCTAATTCATAATATGTTGTAAAATAGTTTATCTTTAATTTACAGTGAAGGATAGTCACCATCAAGCATCAGATTGGGTGTCCCAATTGAGTCTCAATTGGGACAAAGTGGGTGTGTGTTTTACCTATCAAAAAGGGAAAACAAAGGGTGAAAATAGAAAAGAAGGATATTGTCATCAGGGAGGTTTTGAAGTAGTAATATAATTTGGCACTAATGGATGTAATCATTTTTTTTCCCCTGAATATGGATATAATTATTGCTTGTTAAAACAATGTCACGTTGTCATAGTTAATGCAACATGCTTCATAGTATTTAATTTAAATTGCGACTATTGGGGTGATAACACTTGGCTCATTTTTTTCTTTTTTTCAGCTTCTTGTGGCCCTAAAAGTCCGTTTTTCTCAACGAATAACAATTCTTAGAGGAAATCATGAAAGTCGACAGGTATTCAAAAAATTTCACTCCCCCTTTGGTCCCTCTAGAAATTTGCACAAAGGATTGAATGTTCATGGTGGTCCTTTTACTTACCGTTTGATATCATCTGCCTCATTATTATTATTATTTTGTTATTTAGCAAAAATCTTCATGGTAGATTATTCAAGAGCTGATTATCAGTTTTCTTACTAATTTGCAGATCACTCAAGTTTATGGGTTTTATGATGAATGCCTACGAAAGTGAGTTCTTTGCTCGTGTTAATGATGTTCAACTGAAGTAGGTTGTAGTGGTGTTCATTGCCTAATCTTTTGCTGACAATTTTACTAGCTGCTGTTTCTCTCTCAAAATAGTATAATGTATTAATATATAAGATAAAACGTAAATCATATGACAAAAAGAAACTCACGCAAAGCTTCCATTCCTATTAAAGACAAAGTGCACAAAAATTCCTGCTGTTTATGAAAGTCGAACACCAGTATGCTCACCATGTAAATAATGCTAGTTTCGACTTGTTCTTTTGACCTGTCATTTCTGATACTTTATTTTTCCATTTGTTTACAGGTATGGGAATGCTAATGTTTGGAAAATATTCACAGATCTTTTTGATTATTTTCCACTGACAGCTTTGGTTAGTAGAATTCAAAATTTTTTTGTGTATTATTCTTGTGTAATTCTATGCTTAATTTACTTGTTTTTCATTTTTCACTTTTTGATGCGACCAAAAAGTTTTGAAGATTAATGTTTTAGTAAAGTTGTTCCATAAGATGCTGGATGCAGGAATAGCCTCTGAATTTTAACAATCCCTCTTGGTCCAAATAGTCTTTTAATTAATTAATTAATTTATTTTTTACTTCATTCAGTTCTCTGTATCAACTAAATTGAATGAAGTTGAGCCTCAAGCTATGACCCTGGAGTTTCTTTTCATTTAACTGAAGACGACCTTGATTGTTGCTTCTAGCTTTCTCACAGGTAACGGGGGAAATACCTCCAGTGTCTGTCTGACATTGATACTTTGTTGGACAGATAGAACATCATGAACTATGCCTAGTTCCCGGTATATTTAATTATTTCCGAATGGCGATAAATATTTTATGGTGTTCTTGCTACGTAGTATATACTTGACACACTTGTTTGACTTCCAATTAAGGCTGTGTGATTGTGTTTATAAGGTACATTGTTGTTTGATACCATACCTGTTGATTTTATAAATGTTGTCTTTCTAAAATTGAACTTGGATTATTAATGTTCAAAATTTAGGTTGAATCAGAAATATTTTGTCTGCATGGTGGATTGTCTCCATCCATTGAGACCCTTGATAATATACGTAATTTTGACCGTGTTCAAGAAGTCCCACATGAAGGCCCTATGTGTGATCTTTTATGGTCCGACCCAGATGACCGTTGCGGTTGGGGAATCTCACCACGTGGTGCTGGATACACTTTTGGCCAAGTACCATGATTATCCTTGAGCTTTAATTTTTTTCTCTTCCTTTATTTCTCCTAGTCAGTTATGTTCCTCATTTGTGTAGTATATTTCTTACAGGACATATCTGAGCAGTTTAACCATACCAACAACCTAAAGCTGATTGCCAGGGCTCATCAGCTGGTTATGGAGGGATTTAACTGGGGACATGTAATTACTTCCTAGTATTGATTTGTTCATCATTCCCCAAGTGGAGTTTTGCTTAATTAGTTCTTATGATTGTGACAGGAACAAAAGGTAGTAACTATTTTTAGTGCACCCAATTATTGTTATCGATGCGGGAACATGGCATCTATTTTGGAAGTTGATGACTGCAAAGGGCACACATTTATCCAGGTCTCTCTCTCTCTCTCTCCTCTCCTCTCTCTCCTCTCTCTCTGTGTCTGAACATCGACAAAAAATGATTTTGAGTTCTGTGAAAATACCATAATGGCAACGAATGCTAATTTTTTTTTTCCCCCCTTCTCCAACATCCAAACCCCACCCCCCCCCCCCCCCCCCCCCCCATTTGTCCTGATTTTTTGTGTTGGGGTTGGGGGTTGTGTGAAGCAACGTTACCTATGGGGTTATTTTTCCATGGCACGATGATTAGTTTGATGCATACTAAGTAGACAAGAGGTTTAAAGTGTGATTTGATGGTTGCAGTTTGAGCCTGCTCCAAGGAGAGGAGAACCTGATGTAACGCGAAGAACGCCTGATTATTTTCTATAAAACAAGCTGCTTGAGTTGCTGAGCGGCAGAGGCGACATGTTGGTTAGGTTTAGGTGGTTGCAGGTTCTTGCTGTGATTATTGATTTTAAAATTATTAATCTTGAGCTGCTATCCTTTGTTAGTGGTGGGGGGAGGGCCAAATGGCATGTAAAATGGGCAGTGAGTGGCCCCTTTGATATAAATTATCTTCTCTCTCTTGGTCTTTCTTAAATCAAGGCCGTGTTTGGGCTGGTGATGCCGTGATGTATCATTTCATTTAAAACGTTTGATGATGTTCTTATCTTTCTCTTTAAACATACTGTAGCTGTATTTTTTCCTTTTGGCTTCAATTTATTCTGTTTTGTTCTTAGGCAAGTTTTATTTATTTATATATATATTTTTGGAGGTGGGGTTGAGGGGGTTGGGTTGTGCCCTTGGAGGATCCAATTTAGTGGTTGCTCTGAAATTTATTTGTTTATATAGTTTTTTTTTTTTTTTGGCTGAATTGAATTGTTTTGGATGTTGCTTTTTCGCCACTAATTTATTAATATTTATGTATTTGATTAATTATGTTTGTACTGATTGGCATGTCAAAATTAGACTGATAAGCTTGATTTCGATACTGCTACCGTCCGGTCTAGGCAGGGGCGGAGCAAGGATTGTCTTTCAGGCGGGCATGGTGTAATTGATAGGAGGGAAAAAAAAAAAATTCACTTAACACAACAAATATACACTGTTCACAAAAAAAAAAAAAAAAAAAAAAAAAACAAGTCGCAACAAACATGTATCAATCTTCTGGCCAAACAAAAGTATCAAATACATAAATAATTCTTTGATTTTAGAGATTGTACAAAAGAGGATGAGGAGTGAGGAGTTTCAGACACTTTTAGAGGCCAGAACTTTTCCAAGCTCTGCCTACCGGAGGAGACGCATTTGGTTATTTAGCAGAGCAAATTTGGATAATGGATTTATTTAAATGATTCCCTTGCTTTTACCATGTCCAATGGTCACCTCCTGTATTTTGGTTATACAACTTTAACCATTTCGACTTTGTAAAAACACAAAACAATATATTTTAAATTATATGACACTTCCAGATAATAATAGTGGTTTCTTGGGCTTTGGTAGGTGAATGACAAAATTACAAAAATGTATGCATATAATAATATAAAAAATCAGGGATTTGGTAGGTGAATGACAAAATTACAAAAATATATACATATAATAATATAAAAAATCAGAATTTCGCCCGCCGCGGGGGGGGGGGGGGGAGGTGGTATAATCTCTACCTCGAATACTGTTACGTATAATCAAGGTTCAAATTTCTAGTTGGGCAAAATAAATGGATGCATGCATGCACTGCTTTCCAAAAAAAAAAAAAAAATATATGTTTTGATAGTGTTAAATCTCAAGATGTAGTCATCTGATTCGTTTTGAACTGGAACAGGCCTTTTTAGTGGGGTGTGGAATCTTTTGGACTACTAACATTTTGGATGAAACTGAGAAAATGCATTACCGTTTTATATGACGTCAGATTTCGGGTCGTCATTAGTTAATGTGGCTTGAGTATTACACTGTTTTGATCTATGAAATGTGTATTCTTATTGCGATAAGTTTGAGAATTTTTTTATTATTTTATTATTATTATTATTATTTTTTTCTAATTGAGTAACTCACACACATATGCTTTCATTAAAGTTTAAACTCCTGATTTACTGATAGGTCACTGACCCATTGGTATTGAGATTTTAATTTGCATCTATTATTCTTTATTTGTTGAAGATATTATATAGGTAATTTTAATTCTAGCCTACTAGACGGAGAAGACAATAGAAAAACATAATATAATATCATAAATTCATTTTGTATTAGTTAATTCTAAAATCGAAACATTTGTTGTTGTCAAATCTCTATCAAGCTCGTGTGAGCTTGAAACTTTTGGGTCATCTATTAGCTCATGCTCACCAGGAGAAGAAATAAGAGAGACCAACGAGAAAATTACAAACTTCAAACAGGAAAGAAAATATATATTATATGAAGAATCACTTTCCACAACTCGTCTCGTTTCCTCTCTCTATCGACATTACTTTTTCTTTGTACCTTGATCAATCGTATCTGGCGAGCTAACTTTCGAGTTTGTAAGATTTATCATATTTGTTGATGAAAACCCTTACCTTTATTTGTGTATTTTTTTTGTATTGATGTTACAAGCACTTGAGATTGTATATTTTGTTTTTTCATTTTCTTCTTTTTCAATCTGAAATTATGTGTATTATATGTCCTTGACTATTTAGTCCTTTATTTTAAAAGAGAATTGCAATAATTGATTCTATTAGAAGACTGATTGCGCAAATCATGATAAAAAGTTTTCTTTACCTTCATGGCCATATTGTTTCAGACGTCATTTGTCAACCAACTTCTTCTCACCTCATAGATGAGTTTTTGTGAAATTTCTTGCACTTAAAGAAACAAAAAAGAAAAAAGAAAAAGAAAAGAAGAATGATCACATATAGCATCACTTGTATTAGGTTACATATAGTTTATCAATAAATAATATGAGATTTAACAAGAATAATCAAACCATGCAAGCTAGGAAAGGAAGTGCAAAGACTTTCCTATCCATCCATGCCAAGGAAATGTAAGGAAAATATAAATATAAAGGGAAATTATCATCCATTTGATTGAAACCTACATTGTCAATCGACGTACCAGCCTTTTCCTGGACCCTAAAGGCGGGTCCCGCTTGACCTTGATCAAATGGCTGAGAACTTTGGCGTAACTTTTCACCATTTTTTTGAACTTCATCCCATCCAACCCCTCTTCTTGGTGTTTAACCACCATTTGAAGCTGCTTCTCTTCTTCTGTGAAGTGTTGGATGAGAGAACTCCTTCCTTCGATCAGCTGTTTCAAACTCGTGTGATCATTCTCTTCTCCTTCAACACATTCATTCACACACTTTGAAGGACTCTCTGTCTCCAAATGTGGACCTTCTTCAACTTCATTGTTAGCTTCTTCCCCGAGCTTCAATGGCTTTCGTGTCCTCTTTGACATGGCGATATCATAATGGAGCTTATTTGAATTGAATTCATTCTCCATTTGCATCCAAAAAACATGAATATTGAATGCTTGGTTTTCAGGGTTCAATATAAGAATGCGTCTTTGGTACAATGTAAGGTGAAATGTCTTCTTTCTGAGAGTTCATCCATCACTGTTGAAAAGGCTAATAATGCTTTAATGTTTTTTTAAAACTCTATTTGTCACATCTTTTAGGTAAAGCATGTTTCATGCCTTCAAATACAGTGACTATTAAAGTTGAAGCAATTTCCTTCTCACTTTCTTAATTTGCATTATTAGCATCCAAATGAAGATTTATAACAAGACATCTGAGATAATTTAACATTTTTTTTGTGTTTGATGAATTGAAATTATATGATTGTAGTGCCTTGGATTGTATAGATTTCATGATGTTGTTTCCAATCTAATGGCTGTGAAAAAATTGGAATTTCCCTTCTGTCATTCATGACATTTTACCATTTTGTGCCCTTTAATGCCATTGATATGTACTATTTGTTTGTTGAGACAGTTTTAAGTTTGGCCCAACTAAATTGTCTCAACAAAAAATCAAGTTACAAGTGAAAAGGAAATATAACGTTTTGTTGCGGTCCTATTTAGTCAGGCGGACTCATTTGAACATCGAATCAAGAATTAAGTCTAACTCTGATACCAACCGTAATGAATTGAGTGTCTCGTGATTTGATCCAAAAGCTTAAATTGTTAAGTGAGACAACACCATCCGAATTCGATGCGAAATGAGACACCATTTGTAACAACTAGTCAATTTATAAGTTATAAATCTTGTAATATATATTTTAACCCATATACTCATTCTCATATATATGCATATATAATCTACTAAATTTCTTCGAATTGTACATAAAATTGAACTAAATTTCACGGAATTGCAAATTCAAAACTCCCAAACATAGCTTTATTGTATTTATATACATCTTTCAGTATGATATGGAAATAGTCCTCTTCTTAAGTTGTCATGTACTTTTCCCTTTTCCACTTTCTAATGAAAAGGAATATTGAAAAGCTACAGAAGGGCTATATATATATATATATATATATATTTTACTGGAAGTAACTGAAAAAAGGAAACATGATTGATCACTGAAAAAAAGGAAACAGAAGTAAAACTCAGTGAGTCAAGAAATAGGCAGATACTGATTCTTGGTGAGATGAGTCCATTGATGATCCATGTGATAGTGTCTTCTCAGCAGTAGCCTTTCCCAGTGAATATTTTATTCCTTTGCACGACTTCATGTGTGTATGCATCTTCTCTGGCTTGAATGTCTTCCCACATTGCCTGCATCAACCACCCAAGTTTTCAATATTTTGAATTCAAATTGATACTTTGAATTTAAAATTATAAAAAAATTAATTTTAATTGTAAACTAAATTTCCTCTAATTTTAAATTCAAACAGAATACTCTTAGCTTATCATATCTATTTTTGGGTTGCAATTGCATTATTATTTAGTGTATGTGCTGCCTACGACTCTACATATGGTAATGGAAGAAGAAAATTAAAGACAAAATTAGTGGTCACTATATTCCATGTTTATGCACATGTAGAAAAAATACAGTTTGACTATAATGCCCTTCGTTGCCGGCATGGCAAAGGGGCTTTTCTGTCAATATATTGGGCTTCTCTTTTAGGTCAAGTGACCAAATTAGATTGGTTAGTTCAACTTACGAGCAATTCGGCCCATTGACTGGCTTGTAAGCAGAAACTGGTTTTTGGCTGAATTCGTTCTTATTATCCATGTTCTTCTTTGAACCATTTCCCTCATCGCAGCTCTTCCTGCTATCATATCCACAATAATGAGCTAAAAACACAGTCTATAACACATACACATATACATACATACATACATACATATATATATCACTCTAGATTTCTATGAAAATGAGATTAATCATGATGAAATGCATGAATTTGAAATACCGGGCAACATTGGGTTGGTTCCATAAAGTCCCAAATGTCCTCTCAGAACCTCCCATCTTGTCTCCTTTGCAAATCTCGGCCGTGTCATTACTCGGTCTATTGTTTGCTACATTCGAAGAACTCTTGCCACTTTTTTTTTTCACGACGGTGACCGAATCTTTTATGTCCGACCCACCACAAGTGATCAAATTTCGAAACACGCTTGATGCTCCACTCGAGTAGCTCCTACTCTTCTTGAACGTAGAGAATGATGACGAATCCGGTGTACTCGTCTTTTCTTTGTTATTATCTTTGTCGTCCTTCTTGTTCTTTTTCTTGTTCTTCGTATTCAAAAGATTCGAATAAAAAAAGGAAGAAGGATGGTCGAACTTGTTGACTTTCTCGTGTGCATGTTCTTTGGTCGTGTCCAAAAACTTCTTCTTCTCTTCGTCGAGCTTCATCGAATCATCGGTCATTGTCGATGTCTCTGAGCTGAAAGGAGGTGATTGCTCTTCGATTTCACACGATTCGTATGTTGAGATATCCATTTTGGTTTCTGGGTGTCCTTCAATTTTAAGAGGTGGTGACACTTTTCTTTCACAGTATGAACAAATATCTGTTGTGTCAAAGTAACAAATTTGACATCTAAGTTTCTTAAAATAAAATTTCAAAAACTATAACACATTAATTATTTAAGATACTATAGATTGATGGGTATGTCCACTTCATTTCTCTACATTTATACTACACTTTTCTTTTTTCTTTAAAGTAAATGACAAAAAAAAAAATTATAAACTAATTTAGGTATCATCTCTTATTTCGTTTTACCTTAACTACCCTTTGTACTATAAATTTTCTTTTTTTACCATCCTTACTCCAATTTTTTTTTTTTTTAAGAAAAATTATACTTAATTGACTAGTTTTTTTATATTTTTTTTAGAGCCTAATACCAATTGTAATCCATTACAAGCCTCTCTCTATCTCTCCACTCTTTACCCAATTTACAGACAACAAAATTTCTCTTTTATATTAGAGGTTTGATTATTGATAGGGTTTCAACTTCTACTGTTTCTTCAATAGGGCGCAGTCCAGGTCAAAGACCTTCTGCATCTCCAATGCCAGTTTTTAATGGCGTTTCGTGTGGTCGCTGATCTTGATGATGGGTTGGCATCCAAACACAACTAAGCAATGCCTTATTTCACTGGGATGCACATGTGCTCTCTCTATATATTTTTCTTTTTATTTTATTTTTGTATAATCAGTAGCGGAGTCAGGAATCACAATTTAGGGGCAAACGGAATTTTTTTTTTTTTTTTTTGAAAAATGAAGTTCAATCTGGTGCATGAGACTCATCTCATTATAGAGTTCTTGCTGAACTAATACTATATCATTTAAAATTGAAAATTTTATAAATAATTTTAATACAATTGTTTATATTATATTATTCTTATTACTATTTATTGAGAAAAAAAATACAGTTCTAAATATGAGAAAAATGAACCTAAATAAGTAATTATGAAAACTAATATGAAAAAAATAAATAAATAAAGGAGAGGAAGAGATGAATTATAGGTAAATATTTTTTTTTGTAAACTCAGTGACAAAATGGGGAATAATTATTAAACAAAAAAAGATTGTAAGATTGTGTGCGTGTATGGAGACTAATAAGAGAGGGAAAAAAAAGAAAGAAAGAAGAGATGTTGACACAATACTTCAATTCAATGGCAATGACTGTGACATTTATTTCTTCCACACTTCATAATTTTAGAACTCCTAAATTGAATGAAGAAGATAGAAAAATCTTTTACCATGTAGCCATGTAGCTTTGATATATAATAGAACACTGCTTCTAGTATTTTTTTTAAGCTTCTAATATTATTTCAATATATTAACAAATAACATATTCTATTAAACTTTGTACTCTCGAGGGAGAAGGGTGATTGTGGTATTTAAAAAAAAAATTATTATTTATTTATAAAATTAGGGATAGAAGTGTTATTTCCTTTAGGAGTGTAGGGTAAGTGTAGAGAATTAGAGTGAAATTATGGAATGATTATTTAGTCTGACCAAAAACATTTTAAAAACAAAAAATGATTGATTTGCAATTACCAAGTAGTCTGACCAAAAACATTTTAAGAACAAAAAATGATTGATTTGCAATTACCACAAGAAGAGGAAGAGGCAATTTCGGATCCTTTGAGGACATATTCATTGTCAGAGATTGGTGTGATGAGATCCTCGTCCACCAAGTCTTGCCATACATAACCGGTTTTGTATCTCCTGCAATAAAAAATTAATCATCAAAAACAAATTACTATTATTATTATTTTTTTGCTCTTATACATTTTGATCAAATGATACATTAAAATGTTATACTCGATCTATATTTGTTAATAAACAATTTTTTTTTTTTTTGAAACCGACTTATCAATGTTCACTCTAATTTCAAAGTTGTTAATGGCATGTTTTGACAGTGCTTTAGAATTGGAGTTGAAGGATCCTATTAGTTCAATTTTTGTTCTAATCACAATCTCAAAGCATGAATTTCATGTTTTTAAGTGCATGATCACAATTATTCTGTAATATATATATATATATATATATATATATCACAAGTGAATGAACGAACCTCTTGTAAGACCAAGCGAATAATTCTGGGATGTCCTTTCCTCGCAATTCTGAAAGCCATCTCTTGACATCTTTTTTTTTTTTTTTTTTGTCCAGCATCCAAATTATCCAAAACTCATTAAAATTTAAATAGAGAATAACTCATATACACGAACACACACATATATATAGAGATATATAGATATTTAATTAAGCAAGCAAATATATGACTAACCTCGCAAGCGAACACCATTTTTAGAGAAATGGTGGACTCGAATGAGATGGGGATGATCAACTTGACCCTTACGACTGAGAAAGTAGATGATGTGAAGTCGCCTCACTTCACCACCGCCACCAAGACCACCACCACCACCACCACCACCACCACCTTGGCCTTGAATCTCCATTCTTCTGCACACAAATGGCACACCACAAAACCAAAAGCATTAGACATTATGTTGATTATTTTAGGCCAAAACCCACTAATTAAATTTCAGAAATCATTGTCAATGCGGGCCTCACGATGATCTAAAAAATGCAGGAAAAAAGAAAAAAGAAAAAAAAAAAGAATTCATTAGGAAAAGGCAATGTAACATTTGCAGGCTAACCACATGTATATATAATATATAGTTATAGAAGTGATAAAAATTAAAAAAATTAAATAATACTAAAAAAATTAAATTGTTGATACTGACCAAAAGAATAGTAGATTCCGAGATTAAGAAATGGTTGTTTGATTGTAGCAGGAACATACATAGAGAGAGAGAGAGAAATTAAGGGGTAGTGTAGTTTGATGTTAAAAGGTGGGATGGTGTGACAAAATGAGAGATTTGTAGCTACCAAATACAGAAACTTGGATCCTCCATAATTTTTTCTGATTTCCCGCGATATACTGAATGTATACTATGACACACAGGTAGCTTTTGACCTTATCTTTTTTATTCCGGAAAATAAACTATGACCATGTCAGTTAACCAACATGTATATATATATACACACACACATATACTTTTTATTTCTATTATACGTATGCACATCCATTTTCTATTTTTACCTTAGATAATAAGCCTTTCAGAAAAATGAAGTTCACTAAATAAATACATAAATAAATACACGTACCGGACTATGAACCCTCAACCTGCAGATCCTTATTGGGAGTCTAGGGAGACGACAATGGCGGATCAAGTCAAGAATTTCTTCTAGTCAGGGTGACTTTGAACAAAAACAAGATTAAAATTTTTCTGGACCAAAATAATGAATACCAAAACTTACATATTAATTGAAAGATTAATATTTAATTTGCTAGAGTAATATTTTTTACATATCTTTTTTCATAGTAACTCAATTTGATAGGTTTCCGAGAAAATTGGAAAAACCTAGACATGAATACAAACATCAATCTTAAAGAAAAAATAAGCACATCCAATAGAGTTACAAATAATTAAAAAAATAAATAGAGTTACAAATATACCAATTTCTTTAATAAAAAAAAAATATAGTAGATTATAGAGAGAAAAAAAATAGTAGAGAGGTGGAAGCGTTGACCTTAAATTGAGTTCAAAAAAGAGAAGAGAAGATGGAGAAAAATTTTAATCCTAAGAAACACCAAAAGAGAGAGAAAAAAAAAAAATTATACGGAGTGTGTGTGTGTGTTTATATATATATATTTATGCGAAATTTAATTACCCAAAAAAAATATATGCGAAATTAGAATAAAAGAAAATGTTGATTGGGGAAGTGGCCCCACTGTTGACTTGGTGAAATGTTGTTGATTTCTTCATCATGCGAAAGGCATTAAACGCAAACAAATTTATAGTTTTTGTCGACTTGTTAGAGTTTAATGTTGCAACACCAAATCTACTATTACAACCAACTGCCGCATAATTCATTCCGCTAAATTAGCCAGCTAGCTATATATGAATGTTTGGAGGAGCAATCAAGGACACTTCAATGAAACATAAATACATACAGCATAGACATGGGGTTGGTTGACCTAGATCACTCTTTCTAAGTAAATGTGTAATAAATAAAAATCATCGATCCTTTTAATTTTAGCATTTATATATATTTTTAGTTTAAGTACTAATCAAATGTTGTTAAGTACGTTAACTTCCTCAATATAATAAAGATATACAAATATATATATATATATATATATATATATATATATATATATATTCGTAAAGTTACATGTAATTATGATGGACAACATCGTCATCAATATCATTACAAAAGGTTATATATAATCATGACTGACAACACCAATATTATCATAAAAGGTGACAAAAAGATATCAATATAATAAAAATATATGGAAATAAATTAACAAGGCATATTTACCATAAAAAGAAACATAAAAACCGGAGAATTAACATGCAAACAACCAAATATATATATATATATATATAGCATTTTTCTATGCTAATAGGAAAATGAAGTGAAAGTGTGTTTAACCTTTTCACAATACGCCTCTTCATAAACACCGATTCCTCCATTACTTCCATTGCACTAATCAGCCAAGCCGTTTGTACGTAGATTCAACTTCCAAACAAAACAAAACAAAAAGAACAAAAAAAAAAAAAAGTAATTAGTCATATTGGACTAATTGTATTTTCTTTTATAAGTTTGAGAATGAATTGAACTTAAAACCTATATGGTACCTACTAACTGGATTAGTTTAATGCAAACCTAACATAAGTATCACATAGGGAAGAAAGAGCTGGTTAATGACTTTTCAGGAAGTAGTTCTCACCCAAACATTTGTATAGATGTCAAAAGGTTAAGAGCTGTATATATATATATATATATATATATATATATATTCAGAACTCATACACCTGCCTGTAACTAGAATTCCAATAATAATTTTAATTTTTGAGCTTTGAGACCACAAACAATTGTGTGAAATTAAACAAGGAGTAAATTATTTAAAAGCTAATTAAAATTTTTTAATTATGTAAAACAAGGCTAGAAAGATTTTTTCATGAACGAGTCTCTTCTTGTCGAGTTTGGATCGATATGGTCTTCTAAAAAGAAAAAAGAAATAAAGAAATAAAAGGAGAACAAAGAAAGAGAGATAAGTGTTGATGAACTTCTTACATTTCTATCTCCTTGCTATCTCCTCAAACAGATGATGAACTCCGAAATGTAAAACTCCAAAGCTTGTCTTCTTCATCCATATTAGGTGTGTGCATATATATATATGTGTGTGTGTGTGTGTGTGTGTGTGTGTATATATATAGAGAGAGAGATGGTTTTTCAGTTGCCTTGGGGTCTCAAGTGATGGTGAAACCTATGCAGTACATCCAAAAAAGAGTTCCTGCAATTTCACTATTTCATCTCTAACAGAAACAATTAATATACTACTATATCAATGTCCATGTCGTTTACTCGTTTTCTAGCAACAAAACGCTGTCGCACTGACTGATGACTGATCTAGATGTAATTGATCCCATGATTCCCATCCGTTGTCCAACCTTCACCACCAATATTCTTATTCTTTTAAGGCTTTGTTTGGCTGCTAAGAATTTTATGATTACAACACCATAACAGCTCCGATGACAAAAGGGAGTAATAAAACTAAAAGAGAGGGTCCCATTAATTTACTGAAAGGTACTTCCTTTAATATATATATATATAATATACCCATATTTTCTCTTAATTTCTAACAATAGATTGAAAGGCTCCGATTTTATTAAAATGAGAGGAAACTAGTTTAAGGACAGTTCCGTATCATAATTTAATTTCACTTTGAAATTTCTCTTTTTAGAAGTTGAATGACACGCACATATATATATATATATGTTTCACAGTCACATACTCATTTTGTCTATAAGGATTAGAACTACGTATTTTTTTATTTTACAAGACTAGAAAGTAAGAGAATGTCGATCTATAATATAGCAGGGGTATTATACATGGTATCTCATTCAATGGATAGATATGAAAACTTTCAATTTGTCTTAATAAGTAATGAAGACTTTTTAAGGAAATACTCTTAAGCTACAATCGTATGTAAATTCGAGACAAGACCTTTCCCTCTCTACTCCACTTCTATTTTTGACGGATTTTTATGCATTTCCACTTTGTCAAATATTCTTGATTTTTAGCAACAAAATAAATACTCCCTGGGTCCCCAAAAAAAAAAAAAAAAAAAAAAAAAGTGTCCATTTTTCCCTTTTGGGTTGTTCCAAAATAATTGTCCACTCTCATATTTCAAGCAATATATTTCACATTTTTCTATATATGTCTTGGGAGTTTAAAATTTCAAACTTGAATATTCAAAATTTAAAAGGGCAAGTTAGTGATTTTCCAAGGGAATAATGTATGTCCCACATGTGTCATAGAAGGGTGTTTGGAGTTTAAAATTTCAAACGTAAATATTTAAAACTTAAAAGGACAAGTTAGTAATTTTTTAGGGGAACAATGTATCTAAGCAGGCTTAAATCCAGAGTTCTGGTAGGTTCACGGCCATTACGGTTTTAAAACGCGTTTTGTCTTCCACACCTAGGCAATGTGAGACTGTGCACGTATCTCTTACGTGTGTCATAGTATTATAAAAGGGTGTTGAATCTATATATAGTACTTTCTTTTTCCACACCCAATACTTCCGACTGGGTCATGCTCTAATACTATTTGTAATAACCCTCACCTTATTCAGACACAATATTGTTCGCTTTTGGCTCTCTCGAACTAGAAACTTTCCAGGGGTCACCCATCCTCGTACTACTCTAGGTTAAGTAGGCTTAACTCCGAAGTTGTGGTAGGTTCACGCTCAACGCGTTTTGTCATATAAGAGTGTTGAATTTATATATAGTACTTCCCTTTCCATACCTACCCAGACAATGTGGGATTGTGCACCTGTAATTCGCCCAGTGTGATAGTTTACTGGTGCCACTTGCATACGCTCACACATTCGCGCACAAGATTGTCGCAATACTTTCCAAAAGAGGCACTCTTTTTTGGAACAGAGGTAGTATTATTGTAAATCATTTGAGGGTAATTTTGTGATTTCAGTGCCAATGAATTTACTCTGCCAATCTACCCAGCTAGTAGACATTTATTTTTGGATAGATCCTTGTGAATGTGTGAATTGACAGTTTTGATGCATTAATTCCATGTATAAAATCCAGTGAGCAAATTCATCAAGAATAATTAAAAACTAGGTTGTAATAGTCCTTCAAATGTCGTAAAGATAATATTAATATTTACATATCAAATCATGTATACTCCCACTGATTCTAGAGCATGCACTAAAATGTTTACAACAAAATGTAGCCAGAATTATTATATATACCATGCCCGCAGTCCAATCATGTACATATATATACCTAATTCTTTTATATAAGAAAATACTCAAATCAACAAAAATCTTTTCCAATTATTTATGATTGGTGACACAATATTCCTATTTCACTAAAATCTACCCACATACTAGTAGTATTCTAGGATAAACACCATATTTTTATTTATTTTTACAGGAATTGTGAATCATAAATAACTATTTCTTAAGGGCAGACGACAACAACCAAGAGGATCAAAGATTGGATTCAGCATATATATATAAGCCATATTGATTTCTATTCATTCTGCTATTTGTCTTTTATATATAGGGCAAAGTTCAAAAAACCTTCTCACTTTCACTCTTTTCCATTAAACCCTCTTTAACTATTTTTATTCCAAAAAATTCCCCTCAATTATAAGAGGGAGGTAACAATTTCAACTGGACCTTAACTAAGGATGCAAAATGACTAAAGTATCCATTAGGCAAAAAAACCATTTTTTCTCCTTTTCAATTCTGAGTTTGTTGGTGGAAAAAAATTCTGAGTTTGCCTTTTTATTTTATTTTATTTTATTTTATCATTCCTCTCTGTAATTT